TTTAAGGGTCAATTGAACTCGACTTTCAATTTGTTTTAGTTGAGTTTCTTGCATAAGTGGAATAAATAAACAAATATCGAAGAAGTTGGGGAGAACGCTCGCTGTAAGTAAAACCATTTGACTGGGTTAATCGGTTAGTGCCAATAATACCTTCTGGATCGAGTAAGGAGTTCAGGACAAGTAAGCTAATGTCTTTTTGGATTGGTTGCCTTTCCAAAAGAGTATCGTATTCAAAAAAATAAGTTTGTTGACAAAGTGTAATAAGCCTTGTTTTTACAAATTGCAATTTCACATTACTAAAGTAAACGTTTCAGGCCGTTTCACAAATTTTGTAAAATGTCAGATAAATTTGTCAAAGATCGAGACAAATTAGAAAATCTATCCAATATGTTTTCGTGAAAATAAATAGGATTCTTTTTGGTGGTTTTACGTTCTATATCAGTTGATGTTATTAGCTTGGATTTTGGCCAATCTGCATAAAATAATTTTAGACCAGCTTGCTGCTTATATCCTTACCGTCACTCGAGAAATGTAGGATGACATAGAGCATTACTTTCATTGCAAAGTTATTTAGTTGCGCCATTCACTCGCCGTTTCCGACAAGGAACTTTCTTTTTATTACGTTTATTTTTTTCTTTTATTAAACTAAACTTAACTTAATTATAAGCTTTTAATTCACTTAGAGTTTTCCATAGCAATCTTAATTAGATTTATAATTTAATCTCCTTATCGGATCCTTGCTTCCATTAATTGTGTGTTTTATGATTTTTTTTCTACTTCAACTGTAATTAGATCAAGTGTCCAAACGTATGATTTGCGAAATTCACCTCAATCTTCCTTGTTGCTGAATTCCTCCATCATAATGATAGTTGGGCGTTTTAAAAGGCGAATTTCACAAAGAAGGAATTGCGATTAAATGTTTTGATGTGATTAGCTAGGGGGTTTATGTGCAAAGTTTTCTTGCGCAAAGGGTAACTGCACCACATACCGGCCATTCGAATACCTTATAGCCTTTGGAACAGATAGTTTTTCGCAGTGTTTGCCTTCAGCGGGCATGAGGGTTTGGGTATTTCTTCCAAATCCCAAAAGTTTTATGTTTGGTGAATAAAACCAATAGTGTTAAAATATCAGACTGTTGATGGTAGAGGTGATGAATGGTCATGTGTTAATGGCGACATAAGATATATTCGATAGATCTCCGGTCAATCTGTTAGTTACAAATACGTCGGACTCAACCTGAAATTGGACCTATGTGCGAACTTATTTCAATGGTGCACATACTGCCCGAGCAGCCAAAGATTCAAACTGAAAGATAGGTAGAACATATTGTGAGGAGCCAAGGTCGTCCCTCGTTTTGACCTCACGGGTTCTGCGTCTCTGGTGAAGGAAGAGTGCTCCTTTAAAAAGGAGAATAAGTCAGGGACTAAGTTAGAGAGTAAGCTAGAGAATGGGATAGATAATAAGAATAGATTAAGAATAGGGTAGAGTAGTTTAGTTAGTTTAGTTAGGGAGTGGAGTGCGTGATGTTGAGAACGACGGCTCACTCGCGGAATACGATTAATTTTGGATAAGTGAATAAAGTGCGAATTCTTGCAACCGACCAAGTATACTATAAATTTCTTGTGTTTCCTGGACCGCTGAGCTATCCCGTCCTCAGAGAAGACCTCAGAGAGGTCCGAAAGGCCCTCACAATGTATATACAACAAGCACATCCCAGCTTTGCACGTTTAAATTCCGACAAAGACAAATTGGAATATCGTGTTATTAACGATCCGTTGTAAAGATTTAATCGGAGGAAGTTTTGAGTCGGGAATTTATAAAAATTCATTTATTCTCTTACCTCTCTAGTAAGTTTTGCCTCGCTAAGGCAAAATCTTCATAGTGGGTTTATTTTGATTATATTCTTGGCTTCACCAAAGGTTTTGTAGCAAATTGTATAATTTAGCAAGAAGCCTATTCGCTTTTAAATGCTTCGGTATCGCAGAGGTTAAAAAAATTAGATAATACCGAGCTCTTAAGTTCTTCATGGGCTGTGTGGTACTATTGGAGATAAGAGAGAACTCTCATAGAGAGACTTTACTTCTTCTTCCGCCGAAACAATGAGTGAGCAGAACGAGAAAATGAGTTCGAACTACGAAGGAGAAATAAGCCACAAAATCTTTTGCCAATTGGGCTTTACGCTTAAAGCTTTCTAGTTCTGTCTGTCGTTTTTCTGACATTGCTGTGATGGACATATTCATTGCGTAAAAAAAAATGAAAGTATAATCCATATTCTAATCCATTATAGTCTAAAAAACCTTGCTTTGAGAAATAAGAAGGGGCTCACAGGAGGAATTGTTAAACAATAAAATGGGATGTCCAGCAAGTTATTTGAAGATTTTTATTTACGTAAGTAATCTTTAACCAGAATATACTATCTGTTATCATATAAGAATTGAGCAGCGAAAAACTTTTGAAACGAACTACATAATATGATGCACTTTTTTTTAATAGTGGGATGAATTCAATAATACAATGGTATAAGAACGCTACGTAAGAAAACTCCCGTTGTAGGTAAACTGAATAAAAATGATATAATACTTGAACAAAAGTTAATGTCAGACATACATACGAGAGCAACAAGTGTATTCTTTTCTATGTTTTTTTCACTTCTGAAGTGGGTATACCACGACTAGACGAAGCAATAAATTGATCGCAATATTCAATCCTTGGTGTTCTTGAATTACTGATATGCATAAAGTCACGGAATTTCTCAAAAAAAATATTTTTTCAATCACCTTGTCAATGACGTTCAATACTTTTTAATTATTAAACACAGTTCAATTAATTGTTAGAATAAAGGTCGGCGCTGATGCACATACATACCATAGTCTTAATTACAAAGTAAGGATTGAATTTGAAAATAGTTGGAAGAATAAATTTTATTGTCGTATAAGGCATTTTTAATTGCATTCCATTGTCGCCAAAATTAATGCAATTTAAGCTCTTAATAATAACTTTAACAAATTTTTAAATTACTTCGTTAACTTCACAACCTTTCTATAAACAGTTTGTTGTTTGATAACTATTTTTCTTTGGAATAATCGTTGAGATTAACGGAGAACACTTTTCATGAGATCAAAAATATGTACCTTACAGTTACAAACGGAGGATGATGAAACTGACTAATAAGCAATAACAAAAGCTCTTCCACTTTATATTGATTTGTGGTTTACAAATTTTTGGATTTTTTAAGGAAATACTTAACCATTCAACTATTCCTTGATGTGAGTTTACTTACTGAAATCACCAATGAGATATATTCATAAAAAAAAAATTAAACATATTCTATCTCATGCATAATCTGCTTCAAAGGAGAAAATGTTAAGAGGGATTTAAGATGGTATTAAAATACGTAGACCGATACGGTTTGCTTTTCTCGCTGTTCAATTAATAATAAAAACAATTATTTATTTGCTTTTGATGAACTTTTTGACAGAATTTCTTTTTCCAAATATATTTTTATATTTGTTTCTCAAAGCAACACAGCGAATTCTTTGATTATTTTAAGTGTTCGATTCGTCTAAAGAGAAAATTACGATGGACGTATGACAAACAATTATCGAATATTTCATATTCTCCCTCTCAGAATTTATGGGAGAAGGTCTCCGCAATTCATTGAATGTTTCATCTCATATAAACAAACAAATGACAATGATAAATTCACGCTTAACTAATTAGGGTCGTCTTTAATTTTTGCTAACAATGGCACTATTTGCTATTGTATTGTCGACCACTCCCAACATGCTCCCTAAGCAAATCCAACATGTTTTATTAATAATTATGTAATTATTAATATTAAAAATTAAAATTAACAACATGCACTTAATTTCGCTATTTAATTGCAATATTATCCCCTGGCTTGCAATCTTTCACATAAGGTTTTCTAAACAAACAGCTCATGGTTTTGCCTCATTTATGAATTGCAACGCATCGTTTGTAAAATCTTACTTGGTGCGCCAAACGTACACATGTTTTCATCACTTCCGATTGTCGAAAACAATATAACTCGTTCTTAGCAATTTTTGATTTATGTTTTTTTGCTTTGATAAAAATTTTGCCATACATAATACAAAACTAATACGCTTTCAAGTACGCTTTCAGTCGTCGAAGTGAAAATATATAGAAGCAGTATCCATATTTTCATAAATACATCGTTGTTTTTCTGGCAAAAAATATGCATGCAAACACTTTAAGATTTGCGTCAACCGCAGCGTAAGCTATATGCTGAAGTGCATGTAAAACACATAATCAATTTTATTTCGACAGTTCGTTCATTGACCTATATCAACTCAAAATATTGACTCCAGGCGAGCGTCTACAAGCATAACATTTACATACCTGTATATATCTATATTCAGTCATTTATCAATTTTATTATGACTGAAACAAACAACTTAATGTTCACATCAAATACTTTTTACACAACACTGCGAATCTTCGAACTCATAATTACTCAGAAAATTAACCAAATTTTAGAATGTATCGAAATTCAAATTTTAGGATTATATAACAATTTCGTAAACATAAAGTGAAATTAAGTAATAGTTGCAGATCGTGCGAGTTTTATCATAATTACGTTGCGGGTGTGCAAACGCACAAAAAATACAGTCACGTACAATCAAATTAACCGTTAAGTTTATTCTCATTTAGTCAAAGAAAGTTGTCACTTCTCACTTAGCACTGTGAACCATTTATGGTTGATTTGCTGAATTAATTCTTTTAGAAAAAGAAAATAAGCAAACCTTTTTTACTCAACTCCGCGAGTGATATGTTGTTGCAGACCCGCAGAACAAGAAAATAAGCAAACAGCTGTAGAGAGTCGGGTTAAAAAGAACTTTTTAACAGTTTGTAATATTATTTTTTAAGAAAGGCCCAAGCTGGCATAAACTGAGCAACTCACCTTGCGAAGGCAGCAAGAGTTTCTCGCAGAAAAAGCAAAAAATCTTAAAATTAAACCAGCTTCCCAAATTGTTAATATGTCAAAACAAAAATGAAAGCCATTAAAATATTGAAATATTCTTTTCGTTTATTGATCAGTTACCACGAAGCTTTCAAGCAATCGTTTTTCGTTAAAGATCTAAGGATTAATATGGCATCAGCTCCACATTGGCATGCTGCTGGTGTTAACATTTTCCAAAGAGAAATAATATTGGATGAAACTCACGGAATTTAAAGGATAGATGAACGCGGAGCAACATGCAAATATTGCAAGCTCCGTTTTAAGTGATATTGTGAAAAAGATTGTAACGCAACTCAATTATTATAACATTGTCAAGAAGGTCGTGCCTTTCTTGCCATTGAGAAGACCGAATTAACAACTCCCAATGCATATAAAAATAGAAAAACTATACCTGCTCAGATAATCGAGCAAAATGTGAACACACTAACAACCGAAATTCATGAAGGCATAAACTGCAAGAGAAAGAGAATAGTATAATTTAGGACAAACTTATGATGAAAAGACTTGTTTTTGAAAGTGGCAAAACAGCAGGAGAAACACATGGAAAACAGAGGAAGGAAAAATTTTAAAGTAGAAACAAACACTGGTAGAATCATTAGGTAAAAATATTAAATTATATATAGATTTATGTACGTATATATATATATATATATAGTTTAGTTGTAAATAATGCCGCCATTTAACAGATCTTTCGATATTAAATAAAAAACTTAATCATTTTGAAGTAGCCATTAACAACTATAATGTGATGATTTCTGCGGATAGTTTCTGATCTTTAAAAGCCATTATTGTGGATTTATATTCGTCTAATGGGGTCGTATCTCTGCTGAAGAGGAGTAGTTGAGAGAGATAAACTTGAATGTATGCGCGACGTGCCTTATCAAAAACCACTTAAACTGGACGTAAAATTTGAAGCACGTTGTAATTGGCCGTTTCGTCAATTCGTCGTTTTACTGCCCTCCTATCGGACAATTCGGACAAATTGGACAACAACGAAGAATGTGAATTGTATTTGCAGGGTGATGAACTCCAACGTTCCAGCTGCACTCTGCAGAAACTATTTTCTTTAGCGGGCTCTCATATTATACGACAACGCACGTCAGCGCTATTACCGCAACGCTTAGTATTTATCTACAGGGTTTTTATCATAGAACTTTAGATGACAAAAATTCTCTTCTTACTACGGTTCGGCTTCGATGGAAATAACGCATCTATATTTAGGATGGTTGCTAAGGCGTTAGCGTTGCCCTTTTACAATGAAACTGTTTTTATACACATATTTATTTTGGTACACATCGCAAATTTTTGATATGCTACCCAAGTAAACAATTGTTGCTTGTGTAACTTTCTTTTGCGGCAACAGACTGGAAAAATGTACATAAGCTCACGTTTTTTTAAATTGTTTAAATTATTACATTAAATATTAAATAAATAAAATAAAGCCCCATAATAGTTATACCGTATCATGCTTTAAAATCTTAATACATTTGGCCAAGAAATTGCTGTGAAAATTGTTAATGACGGTGATTTAATGAAATGATTTTGTCAAAGTGTTTTACCCAAATTAGTTGGTAAGTTTTAAAAGTTTCCTAATTAAAACTTAAATTTAAATTGCTCGTACTATTTTCTAGACGGTCTCGAAAACAAACATCGCTATTATATGACTATGCACCAGTATTTGCATTCAGAACAGTTCTATATAAAATGATTTTGATGAAACTGATTATTGCTAACAAGCTTTGTGACTAAGAATTAATCGATAGTTTAAAGAAATATGTATCCTAACGTGGTGATCTTAAGGTACGATTTTATTTTATTTACATAGTTATATTTTTTGATAAAATCTTATATCCTTGCCCTTTAACATAGAATAAAATAAATTTGGAATTAAACGTTAACGCATGTTGAGTTGCCTGTCGTTACTGCGAATGGATCACGATTTAAGCAATAAGTAAATACATTTAATGCATCATATATTCTAAGTACCCTCTCGCTGCTGGTTTAAGTTCGTAATAGCATTGCGAGGTTGTGTAGACAATGTCGCAGCTATCTTTGCCAGCTGGAATAAAAGAAAAGAACATCAAGCATTTTCATATAAATAATAAAATTCACATAAACTATTTTACGTTGTGTGTCACATGCACGATGCAGCTCTAATATGTGTTCGTGGATTTCAGTTGGTGTAAAGTTCAATAATTTCTCAAGGTTTACCTGATTGTCACTGTCTACCTGTTGCACAAAGGTTATTTTCTCTCTGTTTCTCAATGAAAATCTTAAAAATCTTACCAATCCGAGAGTATCAAAGATGCATTGCAAATAGCATTTATATGGCTCAGTGTGCTCAGCATTATTATACAGAGCTGCAAGCAAATATTCTGCGTAACACGTACGATGATAATAAAAAAAACTGTTGCACATTTCACACATTCGAGAAAAGTTATAGTAGAATATAAACAAACATACCCGTATTGGAATCAACTTTTTTTGTACAATAATTATGGAATTTCAACGCTTGCTTCTTCATTTTCTCATCGTTCCGCTAAAAATAGATTAAATAATAATCAAAAGTTGTTATTGGAAATACACACGAGATTTATCCTCGTTTTAGGACGAATATACATCTCCGAAAGCACATAAACATTTCGAGCGATAAAATAGCAATTGCTTGGCTGCCTGTAGTTGTCCACTTATGAATCAGCGTTACATAAGTTAAAAGGCAAGCTTGGGCGCAGCAAACCACGTGCGAAAAAGTTTAAACTAAAAAACCTGTTTTTCAAACAGAAAGATATGCAAGGTGGAATGGAAAGGTAGCTCATTGTCTAAAAGACAAAAAGAGTAATGAATACTTGATTTTCTACAAGTATAAAGCGGAAGAAAGTGATATATTGGACAGATAATTTTCGAAATTTAAGTTTAAGCCCATCGGTTTACAAGTTACATGCAGGTGAAAACTTGCAATACTCAGTTTGCAACACAATCCTGCATGACTTTGAGGACTTATACCAAAGCTAGAGTACCAATTATGAGAATTTATGCATGGTCCAATCTGTCTCCTCTGGTCAAGGCAGGACCTTTAATCTAAAATTTCGAATTATTTAATGCTTCAACTTGGTTCGGAGTAACCATAGCCACCACAATACTCTCCGAATAGCAGCCAGTAACTCCGTCGCCTTCACGCTGGCGCCCCGTACGCCTTGGACAATGCGGCCGTTTTCTGTGTATACTATTTGTTGACCCGAGCATCCTTATCGCCCTAGTCCATATAGTTTGGACTGCTTTTGAATTGTCGGCTTTAAGTAAGTTTTAATGTCACTCTTGCGTTCAGATTGTCCATCCAACCAGGGTTGCCACCGAACTTTTCCCCCATGAATTTTAAGTATGCATTTAGATGTGTCTACCCAGCACTGTCGGGACTCCGATCGCTGTTTTTCTGGCCCTCTCAATAACTTGCAAATCCGTTAAATTCTGAGTCGGTAAGTGGCTCATTGCTTGGTAAAGCAGCCTGCAAGCAGACAACTTCCACTGGTTTCGATGGTGGATTTCGGTCTCAACCTTCCTGCTAGCCGCCGCAATTTTTGCAATCTCGTGCTGAAAAAATTAATATTACTCTTTCAGCTGTGTCGATATGTTTTCCCATATAACAGTTTAGTCATTTCGCGTCTTGGCTATAAGTCTAGGCATGGTTTCAACACAGTGATGTTATATATTTATAAGAAGCTTTTGTTCAAGTGGTAAGAGGGAATTAATTATTCTTACAATAATTCATTTTTCCAAGGCTTTCGAGACAGTTGGTGACAAACTGTTATTATAAAAACTTCAGTGTTATTTGAGTCCATCCGCGGTTAATCTTATTGGTATCAACGTATGACTTGGTAAGTTTTTCCATGAATTAAACTGAATTACGTCTCATTTTCACATTCATTTATATGTTGACGTACTGATTTGTAGATGATCTGAACTTGTTAACGAAGACTGCAACAAATTAACACTCAATTTAAGCAAAAGTAATGCTTTTCTTATTCCACTTTTTGCTTGTTTGTGTGATTTCCGTTTTTTACTACCTGTGAGATTGATAGGCGCAGAGGTTATATTTGTTAGCGTGGTCTCGAATCTTGTTTTTAAGTCCAATTGCCACTTGAGCGGCGAAGATAACGCGTATTCATAACATTTTGTGGAAACTGTGACTTATACTCCTATTTTTGCCAAGTTGAGATTGATTGAATGCTTAGTCGTGCCGCTGATATCAAACGTAAGATAGCTAATTAGATTATGTTTCTAGTAATAAATTACAGGTTGTCGTTAATATCTGTACCAGTTATGTCTTTAATAAACGAAAATAGTATGGAATACGTCAGTTTTCGATTAAGATTTACGGTTTCGATCTTCTAACGTATCTTAATATCAGAAACCTAATTTTCTTTCACAAAGTTATATCCTCTCGAAATTATATGAGAATAATCTATTCGCTAAATCCGAACGGACAAGGCATCTAATCCTGCTTGACCGAAAGTATTTATTATTTTCAAGTCTACTTTTTGTTAATACTGTTAACTTGCGGAATTCACTTCCACTTAATGTCACAGACAATTGATAGCCCGTGTAGGTTAAAGTGGCTATAAAATGTGTAAATACTTTTGTATCTATGCTTAGCGCCTTTTCCGTGCAATGTAGTTACGGCACCAATATCCGACGTTACTATGTTCACAATGGAGTCGTACGAGACTTTTTAGGCTTACTTGCACTTCAATCACAATTATACTAACGATTTTTATTGTATAATTTGTGTTATCATTATTATACAGTAATGGTTTTGTCATTTCTTTTGTCGCGTACGATTTATAATTCTAATTTTTAGTTGTTATCAAAAATTTTTTATTTATTTCCATTCCGGCACCCATACGATTTTCGGAGACTTCTAAACTAATAGTAATCGCTCTACTGACATGCTTAAAATTAATAAAAAAAAGAAAATTACTATAACTAATTATTATATCATTTTTTACACGCGGCAATCGATTGTTTTAAATTGTTCTTAAAATACAAAACGTATAAATTTGATCTACGGTACTTTACATTCATTTCTATCCAAAACTTACTTTATTTTGAGCTGCGACGAGCAATAATGAGCCCAATAGTAGAAATATTCCTTTGAAGATTTTTGTCATTTTTGTTCCTCTATATTTTAAAATTTTATTATTAATTGAATTTTGCTTAATAACTTAATTTTTTTGAGGATTTTAACTTATGAAACAGTTTCGTGTCTTACGGTTGCTTTTATATAAAATTATGAAAGCATTGTTGTATATTATAAAAAAGTCTAATCATGATGTTTAATTATTGCTGGAAGAGCTTTTGTTTTAGGAAATTTTTATCCGCCTTTCGTTATGTGCTCGTATTACAATCATGTCATATATGAGCCCTACTTAAGGGCGGCCCCTACTTAATACGGCAACATGCACTTGCTATTTTCCGTGACCTGACAACTTCAATGACCGATGTATTACATGATCGCTGTAAATGTTTTTATATAGCTATATGTACTGGCGCAAAAGAGGTAGGTGAGATTTTTTGTCGTTTTGCAGTGGTTTATATAGGAATTGTTACAAATTTGTTGTAGTTTTCTCAAGTCACCTTATTAAACGTCTGTTTAAATGCGATTATTTGATACCATTATTACGACACGCTTCAATATAAATAAATGGATGGAAATAAAATGAAGGCACTCATTGGAAGCGATAGTGTTCAACGATTCACGCAAAGTATGGCCTACGTTCCTTTTAAAAGTATGTTTTTTTGTTTATTTTGTTAAATTCCATTCTTTTAAACATTCTTCATTAAATCTTCATGATTCGTTATTGGCCTTTAATGGAGTTGTATTTGGAATATGATAATAATATAATGTTTGACTTTATTTTAGAATCGTTTATCTTAGAACCGTTGGTGCGTGCGTCCTTACCGTTACCTAGCAACAAATTTTTTTAAAGAAGTGAACAAGAAATATATATATAATTTGTTTTAAGTCTTCGCTAATGTTATAATTTGTTTAAAAGTTCTTGAGGTGTTTACCCTTTGCATATATACTAGAAAATGGGTAATTATTCGAAAAGGCCATATATAACCCACATTATATTAATGCAAATAAAGGAGTACTTGATAAATACCACAACACATGTTTGCAATTGTTTTATCCTTATTATATTATAGTAGTAATCGGAAACATTATATATACAAGATGCAACATTTCGCTAATAACATTTCCACGACAAAATTATTTAGTACTACATGGTGACATCCAATATAAACACACGCTATGAAACGCTACTAACGAGTAAAAAAACTGAAACTGAAATTTCCTGAAGAAATCCTAATTCTTTATCTGTCCTTACGTGTATACTATTTAACAACTGGACCAAGCAATTGAGCAACAATGAAAGCTACATGAAATCGAATCAGACAAACACATGCCTCCGGAAGAAAGACTGTGTGAATCACATTTCACTCAGCATGTGCAGACCAACGCAGATGACGGTTTTATAGCTGATTAATATTTATTGTTTGACTTGCTTGTTCAGCTTCGCATATTCTTTTCAGTTTTAGATGTTTGAAAGGAAAGATGGGAAAAGTGTAAACATTTGTCAGCCCAAGTTTATGTGTTTGAATTGATGAACACTATATTCACATCCCAACATTTTTTGGTGTCCCCTCGATTGAACAGTACAGGTGTTGACTGATTTCAGCGTCTTGGCGACTCACACCATTTTGACAATTCCTAATGTGCAGTTTGGCGAATACTTTTGACAAACCGTGGATAGACCAGTTTGTCGATTTCCACGATTGCAATATTTACGTGTTCGACAACATACAGTTGGAGGCTTTTCGCAAATCAGCACTTCAACAATCATGGCCAATCCGCAAAGACGTGTAAACCAACAAGAGGAAAAGGCAAGCGAAATTGAAAAAGAAACCAAAAATATTAAGAAGGCACCATTTGATTAGAGGACCTCAGATTTCTACCAAAAGAAATCCAACAAGCTAAGTTTTTTTAAAACGGAGTATACCATACGAAGTGACCCAACGCTATCAATGAATCACCCGTATATCCTTCGAAATTTACACAAAGCTATCGGATAGAGATGCAATACAGGTATTGAAGAAATATAAGCGGGCATCAAAAAACAGGAAGCCAACAACGATATATTACCAGCTAGGCCATTACGTGTTAAGAGAGGAAAAATTGAAGAAAAGAATTCAGTCATACAAGAGGACTAGTTCGACGGATAGAATTGAAACAGTAAAAAGATTATGGTCATAAATCCAAACTCTCTATCATGAAGCTTGGCAACATTTGGGAGATCTCAGGTTTCGATCGAACTGAATACGGCAATTTGGAGGATTCGGTCCAACAGTATTTCATAAAATTTTCAATAATGGTACATTGAGAACAGAGAACCACAAGTGCTGTTCAATCAACGTAACGACAAACCACTCACTGTCACTTCCAACAATTATAGTTCAGCAATTCAATGGAGATTATCTAAAATAGGCTCAATTTTATGAATTGTTCTCAAAAATGGTGAATAAAAAATCTCTTTCAGCCGTCCGAAAAATGTGATGCCTTAAAACAAGTCTGGAGAAGCCAACAATTTTATCAGCCATTTACATCTAAAATAAGAAAATTATACTACTGGTTAGTCACCGCTTAAGGAGCGATACAATAAGAAAAGAATGTTAGTGGCTACATTAGTGAAAAAAATTCTGAATAAGCCAACAGGAACATCATGTATAACATCAATTAAAGTCTTGCATGACACAACAGGAGAATATTTGCTAGCATTGCAAAACCCAGGCACAGGTGCCTTTCCTTGGGATGCTCTATTTTTGTAATTGATGACCAAAAAGTTGGATTGAAATTTGTATATTCGTTTTGCACAGTTGTTACCCAAACCTAAGGAAGTACCAACTGTGTAGGAAATTTTGACATTTTTAGAGCTTCAGTGTCAATCACTGGAAGCTGCTGACCAAGAGAAAAAAATCAATAAACCAAGCAGTTTCGTCAGTAGCTGCTTCAAAAACAAATTGCAATACAAGCAAAATGTGTAACAACAGATATCATAAGTTGTATCAATGTGACAAATTGCTGCAACTATTAGCGGCAGACTGCCTACAGTGGATTCAGCGACGAAAAGTATGCGTCAATTGCTTCAAGAGTAATCGCAATTCTAAAACATTAAGTTCAGGAAGCTGTAGGAAGCGCACAAAAAACATTGCTGCGTTTGAAAAAAAAGCAACAAAAACCACACAACTTACAAAATATACTGAAACAAACCACAAGTACTCACGATAACGTAGCTACCTCAAACACAGTTGCAGCGTCTCCAACAACAGATAATTTTGTTGCGGGGCGCTAGGCCTTCGCCTTACTAACCACAGCGAGAGTAATAATCAATGCTAGTAACGATGGGTCAGATGAGTTCAGGCCGGTATTGGATTCTGGCTCGCAAATCAATGTTGTCACTGAACGCCTCATCAAAAGGCTTTCACTTACACCAGCGGAAGATATACTCTGCACTGACGGCGCTGAGAAAGTCCGAAGAAGATCAATCTAACGGGAAAGTGCCGAGATGAAATTTGCAGAGCATTCATTCTTCTCGAGTTTGGAAGCATTCACACTTCCAAGCGTCATCCCAGCGAACCCAAGTATTGACATGATATTTCTGCCTCGAACGTTCCGAGTCATATCCGAACAGGGGGTCTCTATTTTTACAAATAAGGCAAGATAGGTATTCTTCTCGGCGCAGCATTCTGTTTCAATCTGACTTAACCCGGAAATATAAAGCTGAAGGTCTTCCAATACTTCAAAGTACTTTCCTTGACTGGATTGTAGGCAGATCAATCCGCCGACACACAACTCCTTGTTCTTTATTTGACCTCATATGTACAATATTTGACAACACTAAATGGCTGAAAGAAGCAATTGAGCAAGTACAGAAGATCGACAAAATCGAATTAGACAAAAAGAGGATGTTTCCAGAAGAAAGACTGTTTGAATCACATTTTACTCAGCATGTGCAGACTAACACAGATGACTATGGTATAGTCAATCGATTAGCATTTATTGTTTGACTTAATTGTTTAGCTTCTCGTTTCTTTCAAGTTCTAAGTGATTGAAAGGAAATATAGAAAGTGTGCAAATTAGTGTCAGTCAAAATTCAAATGTTCGGACTGTTTATCATTATCCTTACATCTTTACCGTATGCGTGGCCGTTTTTTTAAGTTTTAATTTGAACGTTTGATTATAAACAGATTTGCCTTTTTTTTGAAGAACTTTTATTTTTCTATACATCTATCTATTAAAATTATCCTTCCTAATTTCTACCAAATATATTTTTCCTTTCATTTCATTAAAAATGTATATTATTATAATTATTTGCAATTTCTACACTTTCACTAATAATCAGCTTTGCCTAACATGTCATTTAAACAAA